TCCATGTGCTATCTGCTTTGGCTTTGACTACTTGGACTTCAGTGTGATTTTGCATTCTGGATTTCTGTGCTTCGTCCATATTCATGTTCCTTGCATTACACTATGATGAAGAAAAAAGATAAGCCATTTTTTTTTAAAATGAAATTCACGCCCTCCAGTCAGTTTTCTTCGTCCTATCCTTTTAGCATTCTTATCTAGGCTACCAGCCAGGCCGCCCGGGTCACCCTATTTTCCCAGACGACCGGCCGTGCAAGGACCAGGGAAGGTCCTAGCAAAGAAAAACAAAAAACAAAAAAATCCAAAAAGAAAACTATGTTATGCAGAAAAAAAAACTAAACAACTTTTGCCTCAGGGTCACATCGAAATTCTTTACCAATTTTAATATAAAAATTAAAGTTCAAAAATCATTTTTTTTTTTTATTATTATTTGGTCCGGCCGGGCAAGTGGCCCCGGGCCACTCTGGTAGCCTAGATTCTTATAATGTTTTTTTTTTTTTTGGCGGCGGGGGGGGACTGATGTAAGGCTTCAGCATTCGGCATCCTTTGGGAGAACAACAACACTAGAACCACGGTCTGCTCTTTTTTTTTTTTTTTTTTTTTTTGAAGGGAAAAAAAAAGAGAGGAGAAACCAGATGTACGAGCCTTCACAGTACCCAGAGATTGTGTTCTTCATAGGGGTGAAACTCGAGGTGTAGACGACGATATCACCCGTTCCCTCTGCTACAGCTTCATCTTCAGTGTAGCCAACCACCGCCATTGGAGGCTGGCTGCATTTCCACAACACCAAGAAAGACACAGCAGATAGAGGAAAACCAACTGCCATCAGCATCAAGAACGACTAGTATAAGAAAAAAGAAAAATAGTACAAACACAAAACAATAAAAGTAGAACTAAAAAACTGCAAAAAAGAAAAAGAGAGAGAGAAGAGATGGCAAGACAGGGGAAAACGCTTGGTTACTCAGAACAGGAAATATTTGAGAGAGAGAGAGAGAGAGAGAGAGAGAGGAGCAAGATGGGTGAAAAGTTTGAAAACACATTATCACTCAGAAGAGGAAATACTGGTCTGCTAGAGCTCGCGTGGGTCATCTCACCAGAAGACAGCTGAGGGAACAAACTGGTAGTCTGGCTTTGTCGGCTGTCGTCCGAAAACTGTTTTCTGCATAGTTACGAGTTTATTCAGCAACAACAAGAAAATGAAGAGTTATATATTCAAAACTTAAATACATTTGTTGGTTCCATGTTCATTAAAAAAAAGCAAGTAGATTGAAATGCACACGTCACTCAAAATGACACAGTTTACGTAGATGCAATACACTTCCAACCACAAAGTAAACACACAGGTTATTTCAACAGCAACAACAGAAAATGAAGAGGAAGATATTCAAAACTTTAAATACACGTAGATGACACACACTTCCAACCACAAAGTAAGCACACAGGTTATGGCGTCCCACTTTCCTATTTCTTAGCTATTTCGTCCCAACACGGAGAAGGAGAATAGACGAAGCAGGGCTGGCCAAGTCGTAAACGATGGTTCTCAAATGGGGAGGAGGAAGGCCAACAGCTTTCGGTTTTTTTTTTGTTTGTTTGTTTGTTTTTGTTTTTGTTTGGCATAGGCCATTTCTGAATTTATGCATGTCAAGTTGTAAACGGGGTTTCGAGAGGGTGTTAAATTTTCCTAACTTAAATGTTGACAGAGCGCTAAGAAATAATAACTGTTAAATTAGTATTAATAAGATACTAAAAATTAAAAAAAAGGACTTTTCCCCAAGGGGAAAAAAGGGGAAGAAAAGAAAGAAAGAAAGAAAGAAAGAGAGAGAAAGCATTCTCTGGTGCATCTCTTCAGCACCCAATGATGGCATATACTCACACTAGGACTTTAGTTAATGTATCTGGTCGCAATTGCTGCCAAATGCGACTGCATCTAACCGCCATTACGTCCATAGCCCAGTCCAAGGAGTCCTATGCTCCGATTCATTGCAGGCTGGGACCCCTGATGACCTCCCAGAAAAGTCATTCACTTGTTTCAGAAAAATGTTCGGTCAGTCCGAATGTATGGTGGTCCATTACGCATCCAGATACGTTTCGCGTGTTCTGAACTGTGCAAGAACGTATGGTGGTCCATTACGCATGGAGATACGTTTTGCATGTTCTGAACTGTGCAAGAGGGGCCCAAAATGTCATTCCCCCCACTCCTTCCCCGCCCCTGACATGACATCCAGGTCCCAATCCAGGCCCCGCCTGGGCACAAACCATCCGATCGGGATCCAGACTTTCCGGAGCATGGCAGCCGTAGCCCATTTAATTAATCTGACTTCGAGTGTTCCGCTGGGTCTCGCAGGGGTTGGGAAGAGGGGACTCGGGGGAGGGAGGGAATCACCCACCGCTCCCGGGGCAATTATTAGTCATCGCTTACCGCAAAAGCCATCCCTTCCATCAACGCCACTGGCGTAAGATTGATTCGATTGGTCACATCGCCCACAGCCCAAATATTTGGGACATTTGTTTGTGAATACTCGTTCACAACGATGGCGCCGACTTCATCCGTTGCAATGCTCGCCGCCTTCAGGTTTAACCGCCTTACATTCGGCTTCCGACCTGCAGCACACAGCCGCGTCCAACAACTTCAGCTCTCCTCACTTTCCATCATTTGCAGCTGTGCAGAAGTGAAAACCAACCCCTTGGAAAGAGCAGGACATGGGGGCAAGGGGGGGGGGGGGGGGGGGGGGGGAGGAGGAAAAGTTACACGGGGAGGAACCAGTTGGAAAGAGCAGGACATAGTGGAAACCAAAAAACAAAAAAAAAAAGCAAAAGTAAGCGGGGAGGCGGAGCAGAGGAAAAGGCGGCTCTCGAAAGGCTACCTATGGTTGGTAGGAGAGAATTTCAGCGACGCAAAAAGTCGAAAAAACGTGTATGGTTAAACCACCAGTATACTTCCCGAAGTCATAGCACTCGAGCATGCATGCGACGACCTGCTGGGATGAACAGGCTTGAGGTGCTGGGGTAAATTCATTCAAGTGGAAATCGCCGCAGCACTCTAGCAACAGGCGGCTGCATACACGCTGCGGGAAGGGGGAGAAAAAAAACAGAAGTAAACGGGGAGGAGGAGCAGGGGCCACCTATGGTTGGCAGGACAGAACTTGACAGATGCAAAAAACGTGTATGGTTAAACCACCAGTACATTCGCGCTTTTAGGCCGTTAACGAGGTGGCTGAATCGGTGCGCCGCACATGTCCATACGCATTTGCGTCAGAGGGGGCCCAGAAGGGGCCTAAGACCCCCTGGGCTTTCAAAAGCCACGTACTCATGCACGCCGCCGTGACCTGCTGGGATGAACAGGCGTGGGGCGCTGGAATAACTTCATACAAGTGGAAACGCTGCAGCGCTGTTAGCAATGGCTGGCTGCATGCACGACGTGACTTCCGGCAGTACTGGCGGTTTAACCAAGAGGTCCCTCTAAATTGGTCCATGGATCCTCTCTCCTATTTTTCTGCTTGTATGTGCCGAGATCCGTGTGGCCCCAACTAACTCTAACCAACACACGAAAAGTTGAGTTTAACTGATCACACCAGGATTCAAGATTTTATTTTTTTATTTATTTATTTTTTTTACCAGGATTCGAGCTCAGGTCCGCATATCAACAGTTTGTAGGTGCACCATTCTTTCTTTTTTCCTTTCTTTTTTTAATAACGCTTTTGTTCGTCCTATTCATGTGCCTTCTGTGCAACATTCAGCCATGTGGACTGGGTTAAGTTGCTTTACCTGTTGCGAACATTACCACATCCCCGACAAGTTTTTCGCCCTTGTCCGTCGTAACAACGAGCCCATCCGCCGTCTTTTCAATCTGCAAGAAGAGGAAACACCATGTAACATCCACGTCAGCAGCGAAACTGAAAGAAGGGGAGCACGGACCTCGACCCCTTTAAAATTAACTACACACAAATGTCAGGCCTCTCCTGTCGACATACGTGCAAGAGAGCCAGGCCTGGAGGCCGTCCACTGCGCGCCAAGCTTTGCCGAACTGCCAGCAGCGCACTTTTTCTCTTTTTTTAAGTTTTTTGGCTGGATCCGCCCGCCATTGTGGTCCGTTACGACCGAGGCACAAGATTTTCGGAGTGGGCGACAAAACATTTTCGGCAAGGCTGGCGGCGTGTACTGGCAGTTTAAACCACCCATGCATCCGGCAAATTCGAACAACCCACTCCAAAATGTCATGGAACTTGGGACAGGGCCCACCTGGGTTGGGGGGGGGGGAGGGAGGGAAGGATTTTTTTGTGTTCAGGACTGGGCCTAGTGCCACCACACGACATGGGACAATTTTTTTTCTACTGGTCCTTCGCAGGCCCTGTCCCGAGCCTCCAAAATTTTAGGAGGCTGAATCGCGATTCTCAACTTGGCTGGGGCCATATACCGGTCCTTTAAACCACTAGTACCTCTGCCAGTGTTGGGAAAATAGGCAAAACTGGCAAGTTTCCCAAACTCCTAAGAAATCAGAGTCCGGGCCCGACGGCCGCTGCCATTGATTGATCGGCGGCCGTCGTTTCATTTTGGCCCTCCTAAAAGGTCGGAGGCCCACCCGAGGCCCGCTATTTTCCCACTCGGCAAAGGTACTAGTGGTTCACGATCAATCTTGAACCTGAATGGGCCTTTTTCCACTCCCTGCGTGCTCGAGTTAACACTGGACATCATCTAGCGAGGAGAGTTGGCCTCTCTAGGAAGAGCATCGGTGGTACTGGCCCACCGGCGCTATGTTCATACACTGCGACTAGGTTCATGCTTTTCAAGGAGTATACTTATATAGCGACGTTGTGACCTGATCCCCACACATGGGACCCTGATAATCAGCGATTAGTTATATTTGCTATCGTTTTACACAACATATGCATTTTTGCGCTGGGGCTGACCGACGCATTGCCTGGGTCTGCCTGGGTCAGACCCAGGAAAACCCCGCAGGCCCCAGGCTGACCCGAAAACACAATACAAGTGATGTGCACAGAACCTTCTGATGACCATAAATCCCCGTCATTATATCCGTACTTTGCACAACTTTCAGTCCAGATGCAGTGATAATGACCAAACATTCTGCTCGGTAAAAGATCATAATTCCATTTCCCCAATACGCCGCATTTTTCCTCCACTTCCTCTCTCTTGCCCTTCCATACCCTTCCAACCCCCACGATTCCCTAATTACATCTTCTCGCGGCACAACTGTCAGCCCAGATGCACTTATAATGACCAAGCTGTTGCAGGCAACAGCTTGATTTCTTTTGGCAAAAGGTGTCTGCATTATCCACCCTAATTATATCTGTACTTGGAGCAACTGTCAGTCCAGATGCACTTGTAATGACCAAGCTGTTGCAGGCAAGAGCTTGATTCTTCTGGCAAAAGGTGTCAAGGTTATCCATAACCAGATCTGAAACATCTGTTGTTAATCATAATCAACCTCAGTAAGAAAAGCAAGAAAATGAAAAAAAAAAAAAAAAGAAGAGGGTAATGATAACCATCGTAAGACGGGTTGCATCCCTGCCGACCGCCAACCCCGACCGCCGACCGTATTGCAGCCGACCAGTAGGGCCGACCACTGATTTATTTTCAAATCTGAGTTGGGAGCTGTACTGCGCTTGCTGAGTACAGCCCAAATCCGCTGAGGAACTTTTGGGGATAGGGGGGGGGTCGGGGATGGAGTATACGGGGGGTATAGGGGGTTATGGGGATGATAT